TCTGTCATGTGAACCCATTCTCATGCCCTTGTTTCCTTCACTCTCTGCTTCATGACCAAGACGAGGAGCTGCAGCCGATAATAAATCACAGTTGGAGCTGGAATCTGTAGAGTTCACAAATCAAATCCTCTCTTTCTTCTGATGAGTTTGCTTTTGGGCTTGTTTGTTGTCTTTCTTCCTCTTCTCTTTATTGCCTCATTTCTATGAACAGCCAGAAGCCAAACTTTACATCAGAGTGTCACAACGTTTCCTGTCGACGTCTGACAGTAAACAGTGTTTTTAAACCTACCAAACACTCCAGCAGCTGATTTCACCGCGCTGTGGCTGAAAGTCGGCCAATCAGCCAAACCACCTGCTGTAGGGCTTTGATTGGAGGCAAAACCTTCGTGGTGTCGCCTCCCTGCTCAGGTTTGACCCCCTTTAGCTCTCATGGTTTGTAATCACGTGCCAGCACAGATCAGGCCAGGTTGTTGTGTTTGTATCACACTGAAGGAGTTCGCTGTCACTGGACACACCTAGAAACAAATCTATTATAATCTCTACAGCGTGTTGTTCACAGAAATGGAGGAATGTCGCGTTATACTCGTAGGACCGTTGTGTGCATTTAATTACTTGTCTGTGTTTCGAGAATGTTGTTCAGCGTGTTGTCAAGCAAACATGGCGAGTGTGTGTCAGGCTGGTGAGGGTCTGACTGTGACCAGAGCCAGGAGGCCAGCAGCTTAAATAATCCATCCATCCATTACCTACACACCGCTTAGTCCTCACTGGGCTCGTGGGGGGCAGGAGTCTATCCCAGGTTCACCTGGACAGGTAACCAGTCTATCACAGGGCTACACTTAGAGACAGACAACCAAGCACACTCACATTCACACCTACGGACAATTTACAATCACCAATTAACCTCAGCATGTTTGTGGACTGTGGGAGGAAGCCGGAGAACCCGGAGAGAACCCACGCTGCACGGGGAGAACATGGAGACTCCACGCAGGAAGATAAAGATAAAGATAAAGATAAAGATAAAGATAAACTTTATTCATCCCGAAGGAAATTGTTTTGCCAGAGTACAGTTAAATTCCAAATAAGAATAAAAATAAAAGTAAAAAATAAAAGTAAATAAAATAAGAATACAAGTACCAGAGAAAATACAAGTACCAGAGAATTCTGAATAGTGCTCCCGGGTGTCCTCACCGGGACGCCTTCTAGCTGTGAGGTGATGGTGCTAACCACTGCTCCACCTGCAGCAGCTTGAAATGATGACCACGAGACCTCTGAGCTGCTCCAACAGCCATAGCGGGCGGTTCACAGGCAGGCGGGTGGTGAGCTCCTGTTTTCTTAAACTTATTCACAAACTCGTTCTACCAGTCGTTGCTTCTGCTCTGCAGAACAGAAGAAAAGGAAATTATTGCCGTGCCCTGCGTTCCTCGTTATATGACCTGTTAGCTAAAGACGGTGCTCGTTATTGTTGGAACAGAACCATCCAGGTCCATGTTGGAGATGAAGCTATGTGGATATACAGCAGTTGGCCCGTTTCCAGGTCACATCTTCAGAATCGTCAGTATGGATAGTATGGCTAGAAATAGAATAGAATAGAATAGAATAGAATAGGATGCTTTTATTGTCATCATGCACGGAGTACAACGAAATTAAGAGACAACTCCAGTGGTGCAAAATACAAGCTTAAAAAAGACAAATAAGAAGATCTAAATATATTTAGGAGCCAGTAGGACGTAAATACAGTCAGGAATGAACACCGTGGATATATGAGAAATATAAATAATATATATACAATCTAATATGTAATAAATAAAAATAGTTATAATATAATATAAATAATGAATATATATGATCAATAATTCAGGCTTCAGGACCCGTATTGCTCTGGGATAGAACCTGTTGGTGGTTCTGGACCTGTATATTGTGGACCTTGTTATTCAGCAGATTACATCGTCCTTATAACATATTTATTCTGAAACCTGAATTGTTTACATCGGTGTGTTTTTTCTGCCCGTCTTTGCTGCTTCTCATGGCACGCTACCACCAACAGCAGATCAGTGGAATAGTGTGAAGCTATTGGCAGTGATGGTTCTTGCGTCACTGCTGTGCGTATGTGGATGTCTGAGCTCTCTGACGGGAGGAAACGAAAAGAGCTGAGAGCCGCTCGAATAACGTTGCTCCACACATGGCGTTACTACAGTCTGCTGATGAAACGACAGGCCGGTTCTGAAACGCTTTAGAGAAAACTGAACTGTTTTTCTGCTTCTTCCTTCCAAACATGTAAAACAAAGAGATGTTTTTTTGGTGCTTCTGAGGACATTGGGTCAGTGTTGTAAGTGTTCCTTACATCAGCCACAGGAACAAACTGTACAACAGCTGCTTTGTGGATGTGGTCAGTATTCATATATCTTCATTTATCACAAGTTTATTGGTGAGAATGTGTTTTGACAGATAAACTAAACCAGGAAAACGAATGTGTTCCTGCTGCTGCTGAACATGAAGCAAAGCTTCTGCTCAGGAGGTTATCAGGTCACTGTGATGTCACCGCTGGTGGACTCCAGTACCGGACCAGTTTCATGTGTATAAACTACCAAACAAATCACTGCAGTATTTAGAGCAGCATCGTGCATTTAATAGGTGAAAAGATCCCACATGTCCCAGTGTTTGGTGGCACACAGTTTGGAATAATTAAACTGAGCAGTCCAGTATTTCTGCATCAAAATAAACGTGTCCGGTTCTTGTTGTTCCAAACAGAAAAGTCCAATTCAATACAATATTGGATTTCATTGATCAGCGTTCAGCGATAATGCAAAGCGGTGCAGGTGTTCGGGCGCCGTTAGGAGCCTCTTGGGAAATAAAACGAGAAGTGGCACATGGCTGAGCGTCGAGGATAATAAGATGCAAAGAAGTCTGACATATGTTCTGAATTTAAACTTTTACGGACCGAGCATGAGCACAGGATAGAGCGGTTGTTTGCCAGCGCCGCGCTCCCGGACCCAGAACAGAATTATTTTTACAAGTTTTAGGCCCAGTGGCCTTGGGGGGGGTTCATGGAAATCCATTCTGACAACAAGGTCTCCAGTGTTTGTGTTTAACAGAATACAGAAGGGTTTGTAAAAAGCTGCTTGTGAAGCTGCACAGAGGAAACGCCAGAGTGTTCCTGTGATACGCTACACATCCCTACTGAGAGCTATGTAGGTGGGAGCACAAATGCTCAATGAAGGTTTCTTTTTTTTTCTTTGCCTGATTTCTTCCTTCAGAGGTAATTAGGTGCGTTCTCGCTGAAGTACGAACCATGAACGGTATATTCTCCGTCTGCACGAGGACTGCTTGTTTATGTTTTCAGCTTATTTCACATTATTAGCTCGGCTGGATGCGTCACTTCTGTCCTTCTTAGTCTGAGATACCTTAAATCCCTCTTCTTTTCATGAGAATGTGTTGAGCTATTATATTTAATGCTTTTAAGCACCAGGAGCTCGATATGCAGACTTAGGATGATCTGGTCAGAGGCGGTTTAGTCACAGGTGTTATTTTTACAGCACATTAATGTTATTAAGTTGGATTTATATTGGCAGGCTGCACTTCTTAAAATGAAAGAGAAACTCATCAAAGCATCCTCTAAATTTTACCTAAAGAACTGGAAACACAAAGACATCCGTGACATTTACGCATTAAGTCCGCTTCGGTTCTGCTGCAGTGAAGCTGAGATTCTGTGCAAAACTGAAACAGGAGCAAAGACACACGAAGCCAAGAAACAGAAGTGTGAACAAACTTAACAAAGGAACGCCAAAAAAACAGTTGTCATGCCAGCACTCGGTCCAATCTGACCATTTGCTACCGGAGCTCAGTTCAGTGCACAACTCCACACTTTGGTTTCGTTTGATCCGTTTACAACAACCTGAACTTTGCCGCTTTTGCATTTGTTGGTTTATGATTCCACCGCGTTACCTCTGCAGCTACAGTCAGTGTCATGGAGATGTACTGGACTGCAACGGTCCCACATTTACATGTGAACCGGCGAGCGGTGCATCTGTCGCTCTGCTATTGTGTGCAGGCACGATGCAGAGTGAGACTTTAACAACTACGATGACTGTGGTATTTAAGGAGGGTGCTGCCAGTTGCTCAAGAGCTGCAAAAATGTTCTGAAACAATACTAAAAAGCAGAGGAGTGTTGGACAGTGACCAATAGGAGATCTTAAAACTGTGTTGTTTTGCTCAGCTCGTCTCTGCACCGGGTTGTATGCAGTGAGTCGATGTTTTTGGCGTGAGCGATGGCAGCCTCTTTCTGACAGAGCTGAAAAAGCTTTAGGCAAATATGGAGGAGCCATAAAGGCTGTATCAGCCTGTATCTGCACCATAAGGCCTGCATCAGCCTCTCTGTGGCTCCCGTCTCCCTACCATTTCCTTCCTACGGTGCCTTTTACAGTTCATTTCAGTTTAGCCTAGAGGCGGCTTGAGTAATCTCGCCGTGGTTTTTCAGCAGAGAATGGACAGAGACACATAAAAGAAGCTTTTTCACATCACCAGTATGCTAACATCATATTTTACAGCTGGGCTTTTTTTTTTTTCTTTCCCGTCGCATTTTCTCTGCATCCCTTCACCCACTTAGTCTCATCTTCTCCACCTCCCATTATCCTTCACTCTCACTGAAATTCTATTTTGGTTATTATCCCTGCAGCCCTCTCTCACTTTTAGCATGTTGAGAATTTAAGAAACAAAAAAAAAAAAAAATAAATGCAAAAAGTAAGCGTCCTGTCACGTTGGTGATGCAGAGCTTTGCATAAGATCCGACCTGCTGTTTGGCTCACAGACATCTGTGCCGGTATAAATGAGCGCTTGTTCATCGTTTGTTTGTCCTGTATGCTGTGCGTCAGAGTCTGATGAGGACTTCAGGTTAAACGCTGGTGATAAAGGGAGGCATGGCGAGTGTTGAATCCAAGAAGCTTGGTTTTAGGATGACGTGGTGTGTCCCTGAAGGTTTCTCCATCTCCTGGGTTTTCCCACAGGGCAGTGATGCCTGGAATGGTGATGTTTCGGCGGCGCTGGTCAGTTGGCAGCGATGACCTGGTGCTGCCCGCCCTCTTCCTTTTTTTATTACACTGCATCTGGTGAGTCACTGTTTATTCCGCTGTATTGATTTTTTTTCACATATATATATTTAATGTTTAATTTATCTGTGAATCTCTGCGGAGACGGTTCTGTGGGTGGATCATTACTTCTGCACCTTTGCCTTTCAGGTTGGTGGTTCTGTCCGTGGTTCTGTTCGGCCTGCCGTACGGCTCGGACCAGTCCTGCTCTGTGACGCTGGTGGACCATGGCCGAGGGTACCTGGGCATCCTGGTCAGCTGCCTCATCTGTGAGAGCGCCATCATGTGGCTGAGCATGAGGGGCAGCATTCTGTACACGCAGCCCAGGGAAGCTGTGCAGTACGTCATCTATATACGACTCGGTACGTGAGCTCCTTCCTTAACCAGGGTTATATATCGATGCTCTCCAGGACTGAGAGGGTGGTTGTGAGGGTTATTTGTGGTTTTACATTAAGATTTGAACAGTGTTTGTATTGATTGGATGGATATTGATCATTATTCTCCTCTCGCTCTCTCCCTCTCTCTGCAGCCATCCTGTTGGTTGAGCTCGTATACGCCGTGGTAGGAATCGCCTGGCTCGTCCAGTATTACCAGCCGTGCTCTGATGTCACTGCCAAGAACTTGGCTTTGGGTGAGAAGATAAAAGGGAATCAACATGGGAGTTGACATTTTCGGATAGAAGGGGTTTGTGGTGCTCGGATGTGAATAATGTTTTGGTGTTTTCTGCAGGAATCGTGGCGTGCAACTGGCTGGTGATCTTCAGCGTCTGCATCACGCTCATGTGCACCTTTGATCCTACGGGTCGGACTTTTGTCAAACTGAAAGCGACCCGTCGGCGTCAGCGTAACCTCACCACGTACACGCTCAGGTACCAGCAGGCACCTGGATCCTCTGTTTCTCTCTGCGGCTCTTGTTTTGTCTCGACACCGAACTTCTTGTGGGAAAAAAGCAGCGAGTGCACGTCTTGCTGTTTTTTTTCCCACAAGTTCAGTCGTGACTGGATGATTTGTTGTTTTTGTCTCCACTAGACACAGGCTAGAGGAAGGCCAAGCCAGCAGCTGGAGCAGGAGACTAAAGTTCTTCATGTGCTGCACAAGAGCCCAAGATACACAATCAGTGAGTCACAACACATACTTGCCCGTTTCCTCTTTACTCTGAAAGGAAACGCATAAAGCAGTTTAAAGCAGGAATATGTCGCCCAGAACGTCCAGCGAGGCAATCATTTAAATAAGCACTGACGGGATTAATCAGGACTGGACATGCAGCGGTGATTTACTCAGCTTAGCACTGACATTTAATATAAACTATGAATGTAAAATGAATTCATTTCAAATCAATTTACAGGCTGTCAGCAAAAAAAAGTAAAGCTCACGAAAGTAAGAACAAAAAGCAATTGTGAGAAATTGCATTCTTTTAAAAAAAAATTAAAACTAATATTAGATGTGGTTCCCACAGTGAGCCGGTCCAGCTCCAGTAACCATCTCCGTCACCGTCACCGTGCACAGCGGTGAGGCAACTGGTCGATTAATGTGTAGAATCTGCAGGTCATGGTTCTTCTTTTTGTTGTTGGTGGATTTGAGAAGTCAGCGCCTCACCGTCGGGCTAAATCTGTGTTTCCTCATTTATGAGATTGCAAAATTACATTTACGTTGGAGAGACATGTTTGTCCGCCCATCCGTTTGTGCTGATGATCGTGGTGGCAGCAGCAGTCCAGACGTAGCACCGATTCCCAGCTCTTTCTGGAAGACGTGCTTGTTGTTGGAACACCGTCAGGCAGCATAAAATGATCCGTTTTCACTTTTTCAGTCCCGACGTCACTCTGGCCGGTCATGCCGGTAATGTGAGGTAGTTTAAATTTGACACGGCGATAACGTGTCCTCTGTGGCTTTCTGTTGCTCCGCTTTATCATCACGTTGTTCCGTCTGCTTCTTTTATGTCCAGGATGCGTATTCAGAAGTGGCCAGCCTTTTTGCGGAGTTCTTCAGAGACCTGGACATTGTGCCTAGTGATATTATTGCGGGCCTGGTGCTTCTCCGCCAGAGACAGAGGTCCAAGAGATCGTCTATCCTGGACCAGGTGTCACTATCTGTTTAAAAAAGAAGCTTAAAATCTGCTATAAGATATATTTAAACTGTGTAATGTGTATTTTTTCTGTTCTCTTTTCTCGTTCGAAGGCCAACAATGACATCTTAGCCTTCTTATCAGGAATGCCTGTCACTCGAAACACTCGATACTTGGACCTGAAGAACTCGGTGAGTTTCTTCTGTGCCATTATTGACAAAGCCAAGGTTGAGCTGTTGTAACTGATGCTGAACCACATGGACTGTTGTGAAAGTTTTATCGTAGTTAATGAAATGCTGGTTTCCAGTCGTGCAGCATACGTGTTCTTCTGAGTCCTATTTACCCTCTAAGACAGAGAGAGGCCTCACTTATAATAAGCTTAATAAAGATTTCACATTATCTCCAGGAATAAAGAGAAACTGCAAAACATCCAGAATAAAAAAATGGGACAAGACTCAGAATCTCTTGGATTTGTGCACATTTCACACAGCGCATAAAATAACGGCATCACATCCAGCAGTTAGTCTCCTGAGATGTGTTTTTATAAAAGCAGTTTCTCTGCGGTGGTGTACAGTATGTGTGTGTGTGTACTGTGTGTGTGTGTGTGTGTGCAGGCATACCGACGATAAAGTAAAACCACTGTGTGTTCAGCTGAAGTAAGATCTGAGGATTTGAATCATATCACAAGATTTCTGAATGTGCTGTTACTCTTATTATGAAGTTGTTCTGATGCAGGTGTGTGTGTGTGTGTGTGTGTGT